CTCCAGCAGGTTTTTTTAGTTGAAATTTTTTTTAAAAATTTTATTTTATTGTTATTTTGTGTTTGTGTACCATCAAATCAGATCTGACTGGTACAGGAGGAGATTGTCCCTCCTTCTCCAGCAGAGAGCATCTGGTGGATTTGAACCACGTACTTCTGGGATTACAGTGCAGCTTCTTGCCACCGGAACTCCCTTTTTAATGGAATTTAATGAAAGTTTATAGAGACTTTGGATTTATATTCATTCATTGTTGCACATTTTCCTCCCTGGCCACCCCTCTCCCCATCTCCAGCAGATTTTCAGAGGTAGTCAATTGAATAGGAGATTGCCCATCTTTTTTTGCATGGAGCAGCTGGTGGATTCGAATCACATACCTTTACCTTAGCGGCACATTTCTTTACCTCTAAGCCACCAAAGCTCCCTTCCAACTAATTGCAACCCCCCCCTTTTTTTCCCAACCCCTTGTTTGTAGAGAATGACTTCATAGGGTTTCCATGGCCGTGACCTTTAAGAAGCACATCACCGGGCTTTTCTGCTGAGGGTCTCTCAGTGATTTCAAATTGCCAACCTTTTGGCTAACAGTTGGCATGACTGTTTGTTCCACCCTTGGGTTCCTGGCATTTCTGGCAAGTTCTATTCATTATCTTGGCTTTGGCCTAGAATCAAAAGCTCAAAATTAAACCCACCACCATTGAGTGGACTCCACCTGCCATGGGTCCTACAAGACAGAGTCGCCCTGTGCACGGCTGTGGTCTTTACAGACCTGATCGCAGCATTCCTCGGGGCCTAGCGTGCAGACCTTGAACCTTGCTTCTGCTGGTTCCTCTCATTCCCAGAAGGAGAGGGCTGTCTGGCAGCTCGGTCCCAGGAGCCGGTGGGATGTGGAGTTTGCGCTGGCTCATCCTTCCCTCTCCTCTGCCCTCTTCCCCCACCCTCCATGGTGTAGAAGGAGCGTTACAGGAAAGCCCTTGTGAATTCAGGACCCCAGCTCCTACTGCTTTTACCAGCCCGGTGATGACTGATGAGTGTCCAAGGCTGAGCCTCAGGTCTCCTAGCTGGGAAGTGGGAGTGGGAGCTACCTTGTGGGAATTTGAGAACATCAGAGTGACGCACAGATGCTGTGCCCATACTGCCTTCTTCTGGCTCCTCGCCTCAGCTCCTTGGAGGCACCTGCCTTGCGTTTGTTTGGGAGAAAACCAGTGCTTTGGGCCAACAGGTGGGGGGATGGGTGAGAGGGAGGGTTTTGATCTCTGCTGTGCTGGACACCACCCACTGCACTATGGGGCTCCCTTATCCCTGCTGGGGTTATCGGTAAGGAGCAGCAGGTGGCATCACATGTTGGCAACTTGCCCATACCTCCTGGCTGTAATTATAGGGTGACGGGGGCCAGAGGAGATAGGCCCCTAACCTGGGGAGCAGGCTGGGTGGGACTGGCCTCGGATGAAGTGATAGGGGTTCTGGGGTGGCGGAGAAGATCATGGGGAAGGCTGCTTGGGAGGGAGGATGCTGCAGGGAATCACAGGCAGA